AAAAAAAAAAAAAATTACTAATTGTTTTTTTCATAAACTTTACTCATACATGTTTAAAAAACACTAGTTTTAACAAATACTGTTTGGCTGGATGTTAAAGATTAGACGCCAGTGTCTACTAATATTCTGTTGATTTATTAGTTTTCATACTAACTACAAATACACAAATTGTTTTTGAATATTTTAAATTTTTATTAGTACAATTAATTAAAAAATTTTATGAATAGAATTGCTTGGTAGAGGATACTAAGAAATTTTTTAAATATTTTTTTATCATTTTATGTTCTTATTGCTTGTAATAGGACACTAAGCAATTTTTTGAATAGTTCTTTATCATTTTATGTTATTATTACTTTTCAGAGGATCCTTTTATACGTGGTACAGTTGATTGCTTAACGGTTTTTAAAAAGTGGTCGTTGTATATGTATGTACCCCAGTCGATTATATCGTTTTTCTTACCGAGGACCAAAAGTGAAATTTTGCGCCCGTGAGGACACTTTGTACCCACGAACAAAAAAGTGCCAAAGGTACAAGAACTATTATTTCCTACCTTGAAGCGTTTTTGAGGATCGAGTGTGCCCTCGATAGGAAAAACGGTATTTTGGACATAAGTGCCATTAACCTGGAGGCTACCTTATGGTTCCTGAGGTCAGCTTTGCAGGACTCTTGGGCCGCATAATAACTCCAGAGGTGGTGGCCCTTTTGTGACAAAAACTACCAATATTATGATGAATATAATCATTCATTTTCTTGTTAGATGACTAAATACAGCCATTAGAATTATTAATTGAAATTAAATTAAATTATTCATTAAATTCATCAAATTTCCAAGTAATGCAAAAGTTTTTTAATAATAGAAGATCATAATAAACATCTCCATTGAGACATACATGGATAATTTCACAAAAAATACAATATTTCAAAAAGCCTATGTTTAAAAACGTTCGATCTAATTATTTTGAGTTGGAACTTTTTTTAAACGGTGTAAATCAATTTCCCCTCAATAGTTTTTCGAGATCGAGTCGAAAAACTATTTGCATGGCCGTACATTGAAAAGACGAGCCAAAATGTCATTACAGTAACGCAAAGCATTAAAAATTTTATTTTTTGTGGCTTCTGGGGCCTAGACGTTGATTTTTCAATTTTTTAATCGTGTATTATCTAAAAGCTCGAGGTGCTGAGCACTTATCTGATAGTTTATAACCGAAAAAAATTTTATTTTCAAGCACGGGACGTTTTATTTGTGAAGCCTACTTTTGACACTTTTGAATTGCGCATGACAAATGATTTAATTTGGCGAAATTATTAATTTTCAGACACTTGGAATTAACCGTTTGAGCTTGGGAGTGTACGGGAACACTGGCAATTTTTTTGCAGCCCCAAATTTTCATTTGGCTATTTGTAGTATTGTCGAAAATACAGAGCGTTTCTCCCGATAAAATAAGTGGTAATTACCGTTACGGTCCTCTAATCTCGGAGGTATTTAAAATTGTTATCGATGAGATGACTATAGTATACGAAGGGATATAGGGAGCACAACCACACCAAAGAAATACAATCACTTACGAAAAAACGTAAGTCTCCATATTTATGGATCAACTCTCGATGGATCTCTTATCTTGTAAAATCTCCGAAAAAAAATCAATTGAACCTGTGAGAGAGATTTGCGCTCTTATGCATATAAAAACGATTTATTGAAAACAGATAGGCTACATCGCAAGTTTCAAAATTGATGTGCCTTTTATTCGCAGGTGTGCAGGATTGGGGTAAAATAAAAACCCTTAAAATTCTAAATGAAAAATGGCAGTTTTTATTTTTTGATTAAATAATGGTGAAATGACAAAGTTTAAACGCATGAATTACATTAACACGATGAAAAACATTCGTAAGTAGCGACTTGGGAGGAAGTACGAAGTAATATTTGAGATGATGCGCTATCGAGAAAGGTTAATGACAACGAGATCACATGAGTTGTAGTTCGCTGCGAGCCAGTGGTACAGCAAGCCACCGTCGTTAAGTACACCCAACCAACGGGTAAGGATTAATTCGGTGGAGTGGGGCCTATACATTGTCCTCGAAAATCAAGCGCGACAGGTAGAAGAAGTAGGGAGATCAGCGTGGTAGTTCGGCTCGTCGTAGGAGATAACTGTTCAGTGAGTGGCGGCGGCGTGAGCGGCGAAGTGAGCGACCTTGGCTGCGGCAACCTCGGGCGTGTCGATGACATTGCCGTCGGGTCCCAGGGGTGCCGTGTACGGGTAGCCGTACGCGTAGTACGGAGAGATGGCCAAGGCACCGTACGGCTTCAACGACGCCTGCGAAATCAAGCAAAAATGTATGTACAATCATGCAAAGGAGATCCGAGTGTGGAGGGAATTCGATCGCATTGGACCGGTTGTCCAAGTGTACTCAAGTTTTTTATGTGAGTTTGATCGCCGTGTGACAACAACGCAAGAAATGTCAAAACTCCGCAATTAAGGGAGAGAAAAGAGTTTACATTTTATTTGAATACAATCACCTTCGTGGCATTGTTTGTAAATTCGACTAAAAATAGACACCTTAGAACGTTATACGCGAAGAGCTGGTATAATTACGCTGATTCCTTTTAGTTTTAACTTTGATATTGCATCGAAGTATTGGGTATTGTTGTCCATCAAGTATTGTACAACAGTATCCTTGATGCTATATTTAATGGTACATCGTAATTACACAATAGTGCTCTCAAATTTAGCAAATCTACCCGTTAGGGTAAAAAATTGACAGATCCTTCAAACATCTTTTTTGTAATTATTAAAAAGACATACACTAAATTACTTAGTTCCACTGAAATTGTTGCTGGTGATCAATGCAAGTTGCTCTCTGTATTAAGGAGGTTAACTACCTTAAGCAATTGACAGTTAGTTTTTAACTGAAATTTGTGCAGAGCTCAAAAAATGTCTTTGAAAAATTAACGCAAAGTTTCAACCACTCTGGGTGCTTATAAAATGAGAAATTGATGAAACAAATTTTGTGAATTTTACACGCGTTTTTATGGGAGGTCGTTGAAAGCGACTCTAGTAATAAAAAATTTTAATACAATTAACAGTCAGATTTGGTTAAAACTGTAGTCAACAGTAAATTAACATCTGCCTTTTTATTATGTAAAACAATCACGTCGATTAGGTCCTTGTAAAAAGAAACTACGGGACATGCTCACTCATTTCTAACCTAAAAAAGGCACAAAGTCAGACCTCTCCCGATTGGATATCGTACCTTAGCTGTAACGGGGGCCTAGCTAGTGGTGCATTATGCCTAGCTAGGCCCCCGTTATAGCCACGGTACGATTTCCGATCGGGCTCTCTTGCACCCCCCGTCCGAAGGTAAGTAGTCAACCACCTTAATCAGAAACTGGCAACCGCGCCCCCACCACTACCCACCGTAATCACGTGGTATTGGTCATATTTCCGTTGAAGTGGTGTACGAACCTTAGCGTGGGCAGCAAAGTGGGCAAACTTGGCCGCGGCAACCTCGGGGGTGTCCGTCACTCGGCCATCGGGTCCAAGAGGTGCTGGCCCGTAGGAGTAGGGTATGCTGTAGAACAGAGGTGCGCTGTAGTACGGGTACGGGATGTAGCCGAGGGTGTTCCTGACCGCCTCGTAGTTGTAGCGGGCAAAGTGAGCGGCCTTCGCTGCAGCCACCTCGGCTGTTTCTCTGGGCAGCTCCTGCGAGCTCGCCAACGCCACCAAGCACAGGACCATCTAATGAAGCAACAGGATTAATGTATATATATTTATATATGCACACTTGTGGACTTGACAGTTTTAGAAGCATCTGAAGGACGCAATGAATTGTGTATAACGACAGTGGACCTTCTGGTGGTACAGGTGATTTGTATCAGAAACGAATGATCTGTAAAAGTTTGGGGAAATGAAAGTAAAAATATTCTAAAGTTTGAAACTTTGTTTAATAAAAATAAAAAAAAAAAACGTCACAGTTAAAACACAAAGTTTCACCAATATACCGTTCAGTGACTTCTCACGTGGCAATGAAACGTAAAATTTCGCTATACGCACTCGTAACGTTAACGAGGCAATTCATCTTCTTTACCGCTATTTTCCTCAATCAACCGGACACTAAAACTTCATTTTGCCTCGCACAGTAAAGAAATTTTCTCGTCAGTGCAAAAATTTCTCTTATATTTCGATCGCAATATTTTTTTACAACAAAATTATTGTTACTTCCGGGTTTCTCAAAAAATTAGACGCGTTTGTAAGTATACGGGACGAAAGAAACTTTACAATTAATTTTCGCTAACTTGGAGAAGCATATTATCATGGAAAACATTAAAGATTCACTCGTATTGACGTTTAAAAAACTTTCAGCCGTAGCACGCGGACGTACGTAAAATGAAATCGATACGTCACATAAAGGCACACCGGATTGACATTTTTGATCATACGTAAGATCACGAAAGCATTTGCCGCTCTCTCAAGTACCACGCGCGTGTACGTATATACATATGCGTTAGGAACTAGCAACGGTAAGGCAGCATTGCTCGAATGACTTCCTAAAATATTTATACGTAATGCATCCTAGAACCGACTTTCAAGTAAATACATATATACCACTTCCTATTACGCAAACATTCTACATGGATCTTTTTTTTAAATTCGTTCTCGTTGGAAGGAAGGAAGGAAGAAAATTGCTTTCCAAGAATGGAAGTGCGGCTAGTCCAACATGAATAGTAGAACGAGTTAGCAGAAGACTGTGGATGTTACACCGTTGTCCGTTTGCTCTACTGCAATGCGATACGATTGCAAACGTATACCGCGTTACGCGTATCAATCAGAAGTTGCAAATAATTCAGATAATCAAGCAGTGGGTGAAGACAAAAAAAATTAATTTGTGGTTGAAAAATTAATCAAGTCCCTAACGAATGAAACCACGTGACAATTAGCAGTAATTTTAATCAAACAATCGATGGCAGAACCAATTTGCAATCGCGTAAAAAAGTAATTACGTCCAAACTATGCAAAATAGGCCACTTTAGTGTACCAAATCCACAAAGGATAACCGCGTAATTCTCCCCGAAGGGAAGTCCTGGCCCAAATGTTTATACCAAAAACTCCAGGATTCCCCAAAGGGCAAAGTTGTTTTGGAAAAAAAGGGCAAATAATCAACGTTTGATACTCACAAATGCCTTCATTTTCCAAACGCAAAAGCTTCTCGTGCACAAGACAACACCACCGCGAGTGAGAGAGATCCTTCAAGAGACGACGTACAGCCCAGCGCGAGTCCCCTTATATATGGGAGCTTCTGGTAGGGGAGTCGTCGGACTCCCATGCACGAGCAACGCGACCCACGGTTGGGCGTGCATGGGTGGCGATGGTGGGGCAAAAGGATACAAGCGCGCGTATGTACAAAGCACCGAGTAGTCGTGACATTGACATTACCGGCGAGGCGGTGGACCGGTGCATTGCCGAGCGAGGTCACCCATGAGGATCCCTCGTGTTTGCGGTATCCATTGGCGCATAAAAGGGTAATGGGGAGGGAGGGGGAGACGAGTCAAATAGGACGTCCATCTGAAAGGGAAAGATACATCCTTTTTTTCCTGGACAGACGTTCAGTAGTCACAGCCGGATCGGAACAGACGGACCCCTCGTTAGCTCCGTAAAGACAGGGAACTTTGTGGTGTCTGTTTGGTTTTTGTGCCACCATGTCGGGGTGTATTTTCCTTTTGCTATCTGAAAGAAATTGGAAATCCTGTAATTGGAGCTCTTCCATACCAACCCGGTGGTCTTTGCAGTGCAAATAGATGCGAATGACTTTTTACGTAAGAAAATTTTTGAGGCAGGTCGATGAATTTTCCTCGCAATATTGTATTATGCGTCTAGGAAGTTTTTTTTTTTCAGGATCCCGTAACTGTTTTGACTCAGGTGAATGTGATTCAACGGTTCTTTCCAATCGCAATGATTGTTATCATTATGAAAACACACGTACTGTTTGGCAATCTTTTGTTGAAAGTATCCTTTAAGGAAGATAACTTTTTTCTCGTAAAATCTAAAGTGGATAAGAGTGACTAACTTACAAATGTCTTGAAAATATGGCATTTTACGCAAAGTGAGGGTGCAAATTACACGAATGTGACAATCACTTTATTTTTGACACTCACCGTGCAAAGATTGTCACTTTTTTTGGTGCATAATAACACAAAGTTTTACGGAAAAGCAATACTAGAATCAGGCACTTTGCATACTCTGGCAAATACGAAAAGTTGCATTTGATACCCTTGATATTTGAGATATTTTTTTCCATACAAGTACAACGCTGTCGATCGTGATCCTAAAGTAAAAACAGGTAAAAGTGTACGGGGATTACAAGGATTCACAATTTTTTTAACTTTGAACACCTAATTTTTCCCACAAATATGCATAAAATGTTGCATACAGATAATAACATTCGTCATATACCGCAGTTTTATTTGTGTAGGTACTTTAAACATGCTTGTGAGCAAAGGTTTTTTTTTTCTACGTAGGTATACGGAGGAGATATATTTCCATACGAAACCAGTTTCATTCACGTTATTGCAAAAAATATATTAAAGAAAATTAAATCATACTTTCTGATATATCAAATGACATAATTAATGAGATAATTTATTTTATGAAAGTAAAAATCGTTAATTTCATGATTAAAACCATACTATGTCCGAATCCACATCCAAATAGAAGTCGAATTCCGAAGGGTAAAATGTCTTTAAATCGCCCAAAGAATACGTATGCATGAAAATCGCCAAATAGATAATAACTAATTATTTTACAGCCAAAGAAATTTGTTTTCAGTAAAAACTCGGCCAAATCCTATTCGTTTACGCATTTTACTTTCTAAAACTTTTTTTTTTCAGCAACTTTTTCACGGCGCAACATATTTCCCTTCCGCGAATAAGGACTCTTATCTATTTATTGAGTAAAAACAATGCTCTTTCGTCAACGTCGCCAAGTTTATGAGCATTGATAACGAATTCCATTCTTTCGACAAGGTTCGCATTCTTTGGAAAATGGGCGTGCTCGCGAATGGGAATATAACTGTGATATGCTTCGGCGATACATTCCCATGTACATTGGTGAATTGAATTTTTTTTTAAATTTAATTTGTTGTGAGTTTCTAGTGCACCCAAACGTAAAAAAAAAAATTCGTTGTAAATTTTTTGAAGTATTGTAGTAAGAAGTTTTAGGTAATATTGTTTGACCGGCTAAATAATTTTTGTCACTCGAATCAGTTTTGAACAAACGATCAAGCCTGTCTTTGCGTTCAAGAGATAATAGAAAGTGAAAAACGCAATATATTATTGTATCGAGAAAAACCCCTCGAATTGCGATAAAATGTATGAAAACACGGTATTATGGTCAGATAAGCAATCTCGAAACGAAGAGACAGAAGGAAAAAGGTAATCGAGGGAACTCGTTGAAGCAGCGGGTTGATGTGTTTTAACCGGCATGGCCGCATCCGGGATAGGACGAGATGTTTTATTTGCTGGCGGGCGCGCACGTGAGCTCGGCAAATGACGGAGGGCTTGTGGTTGAAGGAATGGGAATTGAAAGACGCGGCGATCTGCCGAGTGAAGTCGTCTCCTTTGCTTTGGGCTTGAGATCCGCGTTCGAGATACGGACAAGTGGTACAGGTAGTCTCGATGCCGTTGGTTCATGAGTATGTTTTTTTATTTATTTATTATTTTTTTTTTTTCATCGACACTTGAACGTATTCAATGAGAGTAAGATAATAGGATTGAATAAAAAACAAAGGGGTCCATGATTTTTGACGCATAAATTCGATGTATATATGTATATATATATTATCATGGCCATCGACTCGCTAAAAACGCGTTTGTGCCTTTACGTATATTCATACGAATAGTTACTCACGTGTCTCTTTGAAAACTAGTTTCAACGTGACCTTGAAATGTCTCAGCATCGCATTACTTAATAGTTCAATCAATTCACATTTGTTCTACATTGTATAAGTGCGTATTATATGATTAATACTGCTGATTTTGAATACTTAACTCGACTCCTAATTTACGTTTAAGCTCTTGTAATTTAAACAAAAAATGATGCAAAAGTTATAGCTTTTTTGCAACACTTTTAACCAAGTCAGTTTTATAACATCGATCGATTTACAAAGTGAAACTTGAAAAGTTTGTACATGAAATAAATCTATTATCAATACGCTGTCTTTCTCTTTTTCGAATATTTTATTTATCTTATAAAAATTACGAGCATATCTGCACAAAAAAATCAGATCTAGTATTTTTACTGTTGAATCATAATTTTGTTTTTAAAATTGCATAAATATTATAATGAAACGAATACTAGGGCGTTCTCTGTATTCACTTACACAATATACAGAAATTAAACTTGTAGAACATTACTATAATGGAAGTAGGGAAATGAATTTTGAGCTTTTATTTCAATAATTTTTCAAAAATTTCCATGTATTTCCCAACCAACCAGTAGATAAGTAAAATAGAATACAAATACATATGTCTATCATGTGAGTCGTGCAATGATCTAGATTATTAGGTGAATCAAATTGTTGTATTATAGATATTTTAATTATAATAAATATAAAAGTCAACAAGATCTTCTTTTTAAGGGTGTATATCGATTCTTCGTAATTACATAGGTGAGATGCTATTTTTACTGAGGCGTTACATACATACATGTAATGTTTAGAAATATTATACACGACTATTCTTTAAAAAATCATATTAATTTTTAAAAAATTTGTTTTAAGCTTTTAAAATTATTATTAGGTATTCCATAATTATCAATAATTTTTTTTTTTTTTTTCGATTTTGTGGTATAAAAACAGTTATTTTTTTGAAGCTTTTTCTCTGCCATAGAAAGAAGCATTAAACAATTTGTATTTTT